TGTGATCATATGACTTTACTAGCATTAATTCACGTTTATGGAGGTGTGCGGATACTTTTGTCCACCCTCTGTATATATATATAAACAACACTACCATTATTTTTATACTTCCAATTCTATTTTAATTTCCATTTTAAACACAAAAATCCCATGGGTTTGATAAAACTTTGGAATGTAAAAGTTCTCGAAATGCTTTTTACATATTGATTTGGTCACAGAATATAAACATCAAATAAATTCTTACCCTGTTATTTAAAGCGAACCCATGTATAAGGATAAACTCATTAATAATATTTGTTTGACTTATAAAACATATATTATTCTATTTTTTGCTGATTATAAATATTACAATTCCTTTAAATAAATCCTTTGCTTACAATACAAATTGATTATAATTAGAACATGCACATTTCGAATATTAACGCATTTGGGCTACAACAATTCCAAATTCAAATGTAGAGATCTTGAATTTTAAGTGAACGAACTAAAATTCTTTTTGTTTTTAAATGGCAACCTGTACCATATTGTAGAAGTTTATTAATTACTACTTTTTGTACTGATTAAACTAACCAACAAAATCAATTATTGTTTAGTTCAATTGCTAGATGAGGTCCTTATACATGTAGCATATGCAAATGCTTTTATGCATTAAGTTTTTTTTTATTAACAAAAAAATTGTTCCCGAAATATTCTTTAACCTAAATCTGGTAAAATCAAGAATAAAAAAAAATATAAACAATTAATTATTCTTATTTTTCTCTTACTACTTTAAGCTTTAAAATAATAAAGGTGATCGCGTCGGGACATCGATTTGTCCAAAAACCTTGCGCACTTTTCTTTCCACTCCTGTGATTCAATTTTATTTTATTTTTTTTTAGTTTTCGCTTTTGAAAACTTCAGACTGCAGCAATGATGATTTGATTATTTCCAGTATTTAAGGAAGGTTTTTTTTTCTTTTTATTTTTACATAATGTTCTTTTTTGATTATTAATTATTCGAAGTTTATTTTTTTTTTCAGGTTCATTTTCGGATTCATCAGTTCGATTTACTTGAATTGCCTCGAGCTGCATAATAAGTTTTATTCTTAATTTTATCTTTTCAATAAATTAATTTCTTTTGGTAAATTCTTTCTAGTTAGATCGGTAGATAAGTTATTATTAAATTATTTTTTGGATGGCTTCGGGGCGCAGCGATCGAATGACCTTTTTTTTTTCGAATTTTGCGCTCTTAAGGTTCTTCTTTCGGGTTGGTTCGCTTTTTAAGACTTGGTCAGCGAGGTGGTGTCAGTGGTTAATTATGCATCAGGCTCCCTAGTTGTTATATAATTATTCTAATAAGGCGCAGTAAATACTTTGCGCAGTTCAATTTTATTGGAATTGAATGTCCGTCCAATTCCCAATTCTTCAATAAATATTTTTACAAAAGTTCAAAATTGTCTTAATCCTAATACAGCTTGTGCTTCTTTGTATTTGAAAAGCTAGATGAAATAAAATGCTGGTTCAATTAATAATAAAATTGTTTGAACTTGTTATTTCCAGTTTATAGTATTTTAATAATGCTATTTTATCAATAAAATATAACACAAAAAAAATTTATCGAAGTAAATTAAATTAATTAATTAATTAACATAATGGTTAATTCCTTACATTTTAGTTCATCATTTTCGCTCTTTTAAAATTTTATACAAAGTAGAATTTCCCTCAAGAAAAATAAGTTCATTTGGCAAATTTGCAAAAGGTGGATGATAAATATCCTGTGGAGATTGCAACTGATCAATAATTGGCAAACTAGTTCATAAGCCATTGGAATGACGGGAAGTTTAAATTTTCTACGTAATGACCAGCATTAAGGTTAGGTTCATGTTGATCATTTTATAATGCATGAGGATTAAATAATT